CTGACTGCTGAGCCTGGGAGCTGTGAGTCTGGCTGTCTTCACAGAGACCTGCTTTGAAGACAACTGCAAGTCTACCTAGAGCTCAGAGAAGAACTGCGGTTTGTCTTCTGGTTTCTGGACTGCTTTATCCCAAACTGTGAATAAAGAGCACCGTTTCCTTACCTTGTGGCTGTGAGAGTGTTTGTGCTGAGAGCTGTCTACCTCATCTGGAGGAGGTGGAGGATTGGGGCTTTCAACTGGACACTGGGATAGGACCGGTCTCTTGTCCCCTCTGAGCTGAAAAACAACTGGGTTTATCTTCAGGTCAGCCTGGGCCGCTGCTGGCCTGGTAAGGAAAAGTTGATCTACATGAGGGGAGACTCTGTGAGGTGCCACAGGGTCACCAGCAAACTTCCACTCCAGATCAGTGAAGAACAGGAGAAATGTGTAGTAGAGTACATGCACAGCACCCAAGGTCTTATTTGAAAGATGTCCAAAGCTAAGCAAACCCGTCCTGCTGGGCTCTGTTAAAGTGAGAGAGATGAAACAGTTGCCCTGACTATAGGAGAGCAGTGGGTTGTGCAGGGAAGGACACAGACAGAGCTGTGAACTGGTCTTTCTTCTCCAGCAGCTCCTTCCTCCACTCGCTGCTCTGGCTGCAGCAACACTGGGAGACTACTTCCTGCTTTTTAAACCTCACCTGACCAATCGTGTTTCTCCAGCTGGTCAGCTGACCAAGAGCTACACTGCACTCTGGGTAAGGCAGCTGTGACAAGGACTATCCTCTAGCCCAGCTGTGAGCTGGAGTGTAAGAAAGAAGCAAAATACTGACAGCAGGTGGGGAGAGTGAGTTAGCAATGAAAGTTAGAACCTAGGAAACAACAATCAGGTTCTTGGAACAGCTTCCAGTTTTGTTAAAAATAACCCAGCGTGTTGATAAATATAAATATTCCTTTCTCGGACCCTCTTGCAGCTTTGCTGCACTTAAAACATTTCCTTCCCACCAACAAACCCACACAGAATGTATGAACTTGTACCTCCAGGCTCCCGTCCTCTGCAGGAACTCAGAGTGGCTGCAGGTGTGGATTGACAGCACCCACCCCTTATCAACCTAGGGGAGGCAGCCTGTTGGCCACCATCATCCTCATGGCCTGCTGGGTAATGTAGTTCATAAAGTCCTGCAGCAGGATAGTCCCAGTGGGAGAGTAACAGAGGGTGGGGACTGTACCCCTCCCTTGGCCCATCTTCCACACACTAACACTGTCCAACCTGTATCGCTCAGTGTAAGACAAGTCCAGTCTGGAGCAGATGACTGCACCAGGGAACGAAGAGCAAGGTGGGGTATTACATTGAAAAGAAAGCAGACTGGTTGATTCTGTGGAATAGTAACCCGCTCTCTCCCTTTTGTACACGTAAGAGCTCCTGCTCAACCTTAAGCACTCGTGCCCAGAGGCAGCATGTGGATTAATATTCACTCACAGCTCCATCAGCTCTCACCTTTCCGACGGAGGGGTGGTTTGTTTGCACACAGGCTACATTTCCACCAGGAGACATATTCCTTCTACCGGCAAACAGACACCCCACAGAGCTCTGTCCTGGTGCACAACTCCAGCCTAGAGTCACACGCATCTACAATAACCATGTCACAGTTCAGAGCAGTTAAATCAGGGAGCGTTACAACCTTAAAAACACATCTAGGGTCCCCCCCTCCACCATCTCAACACCAAAGAACCCCCAAGAGATTGGACTTCCCCATTGAAACAAGTTAACCTCATGATGACCACAGGACAGAACTAGGACGCTGGAGATGTTCACATTCCCAGTGGGAAGGGAAACCCCACACAAAAAAAAAACCCAAAACCAGAGGGGCTAGAACTGGAAAAGAAAGGGAGTTATACCTAAAAACGCCAACCCTTCCACACAAGTCTTCCCCCTCCTACCCAAGCTACAAGACCCAAACCCCACAGTCACAAACATGTTTTTCCCCTCTCCTCTCTCTCTAAAACACACCACTCACCTGACTTCATTTTCCATACCCCACCTCTCAGGGGTGGCCCTGCCCAGTCTCATTCTCCCCCCCTTTGAACAACTCTAGCACACTTGCTTTCATTATTAACAGGATGGGGGAAGACTCACACTGAAGCCTCACCGTGAGTAAAAGAGGAATAAGCTCCACCCCAAAACAAGTCCACACCTAGAAAGAGGTGAAATTGCAGTAGGCCAGTTTGTCCAAAGGGCAGGTTGATAATACTGGGCAGAGTTTAAAACAGAGGTCTGCCCGATTACTTAACAGAACAGGTCAGCCCTACAGGTGCACAACTGAGTGTTACAATATCATACTAGTGACAGTTGAGGACATGTCTACATATTACAACAGAATCAAGGTGATATTTCACACTCCTGTACCCAGCTGAGGGTATTACAACACTACTACTGAGCACAGTACATTACACATGTTTGACTACCACCCTCATGTACAATTGACACTATGGGACAGAAGTCTGCAGCACAGGACCCTGGACTGTATTACAACAGCATAATAGAAATTCATATCACAGTACACAAATCTGAATATTACAGTAAAGGTAATTGTTTTAGACAAAAACTGAGCATAATACTCTGGCCCCAGCCTGTATTACAACAATATTAGTAACAGAGCACAGTGGAGTACAGTACACACGGTTGAGTACTACAAGCAAGTACAGATATTTTTAAATTGTCTACAAACCATCTCTTATACTGAAATACAACACCACCACTACAACAAAGTGCCAGTTTAGTACAGCAGACCATCTATTACAACACACAACTCTCAATATTACAATAGAGAAAACAGTTAGAAGACCGTACACATGGCTGAGTATTACAATCAAGTAAAGGTGACATTTTGGGACAGAAATATATGTTACACTGCAATACAGTACAGAGGGTGATTGTTACAACAGTGTACAAGGGACAGTTCAGAACAGCAGTCTATCAGTTACAACACCATAAGGTACACAGCTCTCAGTATTACAACATAATACAGATAACAGTTCAGAACACAGGCCGCAGGTCTGAGTAATACAACAACCCAGGGGACAGTTCAAAACAGTACTTAAGTCTGAATATTACAATAGAGTACAGGTGTCAAAGTAGGACAAGGCTGAGTCTTACACTGAAATACAGTACAGAGGGCTGAGTATTACAACATTGTACAATGACAGTTTAGTACAACACTCCAGGTGACAGTTCACATAACAGCACAGTACATAGGTCTGAGTATTACACCCTAGAGTACAGGGGACAGTTTCAGAAATCTGAGTGTGACACTGAGATACAGGACAGAAGGTGACTGTTACAACATTGTACAAGTGACAGTTCAGTACAGCAGTCCATGTCTTACAACAGCTCAAGTAGGGAGATACATCAGGATGTGTAGGCCACAAAGGAACAAGTAAAGGTTTCTTCACTGCTGAAAAGAGAAGAAAGGAAATATTTCAGCTGTGGAGTGACAGTTCAGTATTATAGAGTACAGGTGACAGTTTGGTACACTGGTCAGGTTATTACATTGTACTACAGTACACATGGCTAGGTATTACAGCACAATATAGGTGATAATTGACAGCACAGTACAGTACACAGGTCAGGGTATTACAATAGATTACAGGTGACAGTTTGAAACACTGCTGTGTTTATTACACTGTTATACAACAGACAGGGCTGGGTACTACAACACAATACAAGTGACAGTTCACATTACTGTACACAACAGTGGTCTGAGTATTACAATCAAGTACAGCTTAAAGTTTTGGGCAGAAGTCTATTTCAGTGTAACACTCCATATGAAGAGTGACTGTTACAACATTGTACAAGTGACAATTCAGTCCAGCAGGGCCTGTATTACAACAGCACAGTACACAGGGTGGAGTATTATAATAGGACAGTTAAAATTTCAGCACAGAGCTTTGAGTATTAAAATACACTACAAGTGAAGATTTAAGAAACAGCTGTGTCACTGAATATTGAAGTTCAGTCTGAACAAGAGACCAAACACTGGTTGATGGAGGTTGGTACAGGCCAGGTGGGAGTTGAGCATACAGGTTTGAGTATGAAAGCAGAGTAAAGGTGAGAGCTCAGCACACTAGTTTAAATAGTTTAATACAGGCCAAGTGAGAGCTGAACACAGATCTGAGATTTTTATTATTAAGGAGGTGAGAGTAAAGCACACAGGTGTGTCATTGAGTATTGAAACTCAGTCAAGGTAAGAGTGTAGCACAGATTCGAGTATTAAAGTACACTTTAGATGAAGGTTTAGCATGCATGTCACTGAATATTACAGATGCATACAAGTGAGTTCAGCACACTGGTTTAAGTATTAAAGCTCAGTACTGGTGAGAGTTCAGTACACACGTCTAAGCATTGCAAAATAGTACCAGTCAGACATGTGAGCTCACACATCTGAGTATTACAACACAGTACAGGTTACAGTTCATCACACAGGGCTGAGTATTCTAATAGTACAGATGACAGTCCGGCACACTTATTTAAGTATTAAAATACATCGCTTGTGAAGGTTTAGCACGCATCCGCGCCACAGAGTATAAAAGCTCACTAACAAGTTAAGGATCAGCACACTGGTTTCACTTTTATAGTACAGCAAAGGTGAGTAAAGCACACAGGTGTCATTGAGTATTAAAACACAGTAGAGGTAAGAGTATAGCACAGATGAGTATTGAAGTACACTACAGAAGGGTCAGCATACACATCTCCGAATATTAAAGCTCAGTACAAGCTCACCTCCCTGGTTTAAGTATTTCAGTACAGGCCAGGTGAGACCCGACGACACAGATTGAAGTATTGAAGCACAGTAAGTTAAGTTTACAGGTTTAAGTATTACCACCCATTACAGCTCAGTGGAGCTGAGGAGTTCAGAGCACAGGTTTCAGTATTAAAAACTGAACGGGTACTTTTTTTCCTATGTTGAGTACACTCCAGGTAAGAGATGAGCACACGGGTTTCAATATCAAATCACAGGAAAAAGCACTGCTTCAAGTTTATTTTATTCCAGAGCTGACCACACAGATCCAAGAATTAAAAAATTTAAGACAAGTGAGTAAAGCTCACAAGTGTGTCAGAGTATTAAAACTCAGTCAAGGTAAGAGTGTAGCACACAGATTTGAGATTTAAAGAACACTGCAGGTTCAAGTTCAGCAAACTGGTGTGTCACTGAATATTAAAGCTCACTTAAGTTAAGTTAAAGATCACTTAAGTTAGGGATCAGCACAGCAGTTTAAGTATTTTAGTGCAGTCCAGGTGAGAGCTGAGCACACAGGTTTGAGGATTAAAGCCCACTTACAAGTTAGAATTCAGCACACTGGTTACACTGGTTTAAGTATGATAGTCCAGTCCACATGAGGGGTCAGTACACACTTTTGAGTGTGAAAGCACAGTAAAGGTGAGAGTTCAGCACTCGTGCGTCAGTGTGAGAACTAAATTAAGAACAAGTTCAGCACGCTGGTTTAAGTATTACAGTACAGTCCACAGGATAGCTCAGCACACAGGTCTGTCATTGAGAATTAAAGCTCAGGACAGGAGAGAGTTTCATACACAAGTGTAAGGATTACCAGTATTAAGGCTCAGTGGAGATGGGAGCACACTACACAGGTTTGGGTGTTCAAGTATTATATAGGAAACACTTTAGCACACTGGTATATCATTGAGTAACAAAGCTTAATACAGGTGAAAGTTCAACACATAGATGTCAGTGTATTAAGGTACAATACCCTTGAGAATTGAGTACACCATTGTCAACACTCCACTCCCTACAGTACAGCCACTGATAACCATTATGAGAACAGTCTATCTGAGCAAAGCATCTCACTCTGGGGTACATGACTGTGTCCCCCTCTGGAATCGAACCTGCAATCCACAGTCAAGAGGCCCTGTTTAATACTGCAGAAGTGTAGTGTTTTACAGAGCACAAGCAGCTGGACTGAGAGAAAGACACACAGCTCAGGAGACGTCACAGAGACCGGCACAAGGAGGAAGAAAGAAACAGGAAGGAGCTCCTCACCTCCATCCCAACTCCCAGCCATACCCATCTTCCAACTGGTAGTCTCTGGCCAACCCGGAAAATAGAGACGGGAGAGGGTTTTAATTTTCTGGACATCCTAGAAAGTGAAGGAAAAGATTAAAAGGAGTGAACATCTAACCTCTATCCCAACAACACCCGTCTTCCCACTGGCCGCCTCTGGTCAGCTGGAAAATTATACAGCAGAGAGAGTTCAGCATCAGTCCCAACACCACACCTGCCTCTCGACTGTCTGCTTGTGAACATCCCGGAAAATTAGGGAAAAGAACTCGGGACAGGGTTCAATCTTCATATGTACATGTCTTCCACAATGTCAGCCTCTGCACTTCTCCTGGTAAAGAAGGGAAAAAAAACAGAGCAGCTAACCTCTATCCCAACTCCTCATACATACCATCTTCCCACTGTCGGCCTCGGGACATTCTGGAAAACTACAGAAATGAACACAGGACAGAGTGTCAACCTCCATCCCAACGCTTCATCCACACTGGTGTTCCCACTGACTTCTCTGGACATCCTGGAAAATGAGGGAAAAGAAACACAGGAGACAGCATCCAACCCCCAATCCATCATCCCATCAATACTGGTCTTCCCACTGTCTTCCTCAGAAAATCCAGGAAAGTTAGGGAACAAGAGTACAGGAGAGGGTTCAATCTTCATACATACCCGTCTTCCCACTATCGGCCTCTGGCCAGCCTGGAAAATTAAGGAAAATATAGTCCGATGTCAATCCCAACACCTCTTCCATACCCATCTTACCACTGGCAGCCTCTGGACTCTGGAAAATTAGGGAAAAGAGAGACAGGAGTGAGCATCCAAGCTCCATTCCACCTCCTCATCCATACTGGTCTTCCCCACTGTCAGCCTCTGGACATTCTGGAAAACCACATAAATGAACACAGGACAGAGCGTCAACCTCCATCCACACTGGTCTTCCCACTGGCTGCCCCTGCACTGGAGTCCATCTTGACCTCTGACCCCTGACATTTTGGTGTTTGAGCTCAGAAAACAGGAGACGCTGCTGGAGACAGGAGAGACCATCAATCCCCATTCTACAGTATCTTCCTATCCACACCTGTCTCCCCAGTGTCAGCCTCTGAACATCCTGAAAAAGAGACAGGAGAGAGCATCAACCTCCATTCCAACTCCTCCTCCATACCCGTCTTCCCACTGTCAATTTTATTGACATCCCAGAAAATCAGGGAAAAGATTCTAGGACAGAACATCCAACCTCTATCCCAGCCATATTTGTCTCTCCACTGTCTGCCCCTGGACATCCTGGAAAATTAGGGAAAAGGAAACAGGAGATGGTTCAATCTTCAGCCGCCGGACTTATTGGAAAAGGGGAACGAGAGACAGGAGAGAGCATCCCACCTCCATCCCAGGACACGCTGCTGTAGGCTGGACAGTTGTGACAGCTGGTCCGTGTGTCTGAGGGCAGCAGTCTGGCTCTGCAGTCTCTCTGTGCCTCGTCATCCGTGTTCAGCCCAGCGCTCACCTCTCACTCAAGATTGTGATCTAATAGGAGTGCTGTTAAATTAATAGAATAAGTCTAGTAATAGTATTAATGCTAATTAAACAATAATACTTCACCAGGCTCTAATATCAATGCTAGTAAACTTTATAACAGTTCTCCTCTCTCACTAGAAGGGTTGTGTGTTCATGCCCTGAGTGTGACACAGGACTGACAGGACTAACCTGACCTTGTGCTCAGGCTGGAGGTTGGTGTTGGACTCGGGTACGAGAGTGTAGGGTCAACAGCACACTGACTAGGATCTTGGGGGCGAGAGACAGCAGGAGGTCAGGACACAGCCCTAAGGGTCACCCCCTGGAGCCCCGATAGGAGGAGTCCACTGGCTCTCTGCCTGGAGCTCATCTCCAAGGAGCAGCCTGAATCAGGGTCACCTGCAGCTCTTCGTCAGTCATCCTCACAGGCTCCAGCAGGCAGGAGATCGGGACACCCTGGATGTCTCCCCGAGACGACTCCTACTCTGTCCCCTCAGAGTCTGTGGATCCCAGATTGGTCCGATCAGCCCCGATCATGCAAGACCAGCGTCGCCTGCGAGGGACAGCCAGTGAAGGAGAGACTCACCTGGTCTGCACTCACCTGCCTGGCGCCTCGTGTCCTTCAGTGCTGATGGGGTACCCTGTCCCCTCCTGTGCTGACCGGTCGAGTGTGCCCTCTCCTGCGTGGTACAGGGTCTGACCTGGCTCCTGTTGGGAATAAACATGCCTGAAGGCAGCCTGTGCTCCACAGAGTCCTGACTGCTCTGGTCCAGAGCTGCTGTTCTGGTAACCCGTCCTGGAGAAACACAGGCATGTTGTCCACAGGCTCTCTCTCCCCCTTCCTCACCTTGTTTGGGGGTTCTGACACCCCTGGGCTCCCCTTCATTGTTGTGGCACCACTGGGCTCCTCTTCCTCCTTATTCTGATACCCCTGGGCTCCTCCTGGTCATCCTGAGTCTTCTGGGGGTCCAGGCGCTGGGGCTCCTCCCAGAGTCGAGGTCCAGGAGGAGTTTCTTCCTGTTGGCTTCCCCAGATCTTCCAGACTCCTCAGGCCTGAGCCGGGCTGGGAGGAGGGAACCTTCCCTGAGATCCTGGAGTCCGACGTCCAGACGACACGACCGGAGAGATGGAGCCGATGGGGGAGGATGTGGGCGTCGGGGCTCCTGGTGTCCGACTGGGAGAGAGCTCCAATGTCGGGGTGTCTGTCCTCCCTCTTGACTTTTCTTCCTTCAGGATCCCACAGAGATCTCGGTTGAGCGTGTTCACTGTCACACAGGAATGTTCCTTGGCTTCAACTGGCTGGTACCCCACTCCTCCAGCTCCCACCTGGCTGGTACCCCACTCCTCTCACCATTCCAGTGAACACAGAGACCCACTGGTTTAGTGACTCACCATTCCAGTGAATACCCAGCACAGTAACTATGTAGTACAATAATTATTCACAAAATAAACTGATGTTTTTTGTACAGCCACTGCTGAACACCCAGCGTAGTGAAGACCCAATAGTTATTCATAGTAGAGTGACTGGTTTAGTGTCCAACCATCACAGTGAACATTCTGTACAGCGAATTTTTAATAAAAGAAAAAATAGGCAAAGACACCAGGAAGTGTAGTGACTTACCATTTCATCTTGTAAACCATTACTGTGAATTTCCAATACAGACAATTATCTATGACAGTGAATCTCCAGTACAGAGACTATCAGTCACAGAGAATATTCATTACATTGCTTATCTGTTACAGTGAATACACAATACCAGTCACAGTAAATATCAGTTAAAGTGAATAATTGTAAGTAATTATCTATTACAACAAATACCAGTTATAGTGACTGGCCACTACAGTGAATAAGAGTGAATATTCAGGACAAAGTGTGTTGTGACTAACCATTACAATTACTATCCAGTAAACTGAATATCCAACACAAAATATTCAGGGAAAAGACTGCCTGGATTAGTGACTAACCATTAGAGAGGAATGCAGTACAGTGAAGATGCAAGAGAGTTTAGTGACCTACCATTCCAGTGAACCCCCAGCATAGTAAACAGGCCAATAAACTAATTATTCAGGAAGCAGACTGAAGAGACGGTCTGGTTTAGTGGTTAACACGTACAGAGAATATCCAAGAAAGGGTGTCCTCGTTAATTCTGTCAGGTTTTCAGTTGTTTTGGTACAAAACTGTCCTTCATTAAGCAACACCTGCAGTCTTCCGCTGATCTGTTCCAAACGTCTGTCTGTGTTTTCCAGGGAATCATGTGGGCTTGCGGGGAGAATTGGAGACAAACAATGATAAACTATTGACGTATTCATACTTGGTCAGATTTTAAGTTTAACATCGGCTCAAAATGGCTGGTGATGCTCAGGTCTACAACCACACTAAACCTGACAGTGAAGTAGCTGTCTCTGCTCTGCACCGCGCATCTCTAGACTGTATAGATACAGGTCCGGTGTGTCTCTGCACCACGCGTCCCTGGACTGTATAGATACAGGTCCGGTGTGTCTCTGCACCACGCGTCCCTGGACTGTATAGATACAGGTCCGGTGTGACTCTACTGTGCGTCCCTGGACTGTACAGATACAGGTCAGGTGTGTCTCTGCACCACGCGTCTCTAGACTGTATAGATACAGGTCCGGTGTGTCTCTGCACCACGCGTCTCTAGACTGTACAGATACAGGACAGGTGTGTCTCTGCACCACGCGTCCCTGGACTGTATAGATACAGGTCCGGTGTGTCTCTACTGTGTGTCTCTAGACTGTATAGATACAGGATAGGTTGCGTCCCTGTACTGCGCATCCCTAGACTGAATAGATACAGGACAGGTGCAAATATGTACTGCGCATCCCTAGACTGAATAGATACAGGACAGGTTGCAAATATGTACTGCGCATCCCTAGACTGAATAGATACAGGACAGGTTGCATCCCAGTACCGCACGTCTTTAGACTGTATAGATACAGGTCAGGTGTGTCTCTAGACTGTATAGATACAGGTCAGGTGCAACTGTACTGCGCATCTCTGGACCGTATAGATACAGGACAGGTGCGTCTCTGGACCGTGCATCTCTAGACTGTATAGATACAGGTCAGGTGTGACTCTACTGTGCATCTCTAGACTGTATAGATACAGGTCAGGTGTGACTCTACTGTGCATCTCTAGACTGTATAGATACAGGTCAGGTGTGTCTCACTCACCTCTCTCTCCTGCTCAGTGACTGAGCCAGTGGACACAAACGCAGAAGGAGAGCAGAGAACAGGGTGAAGATCAGACTCACTCCCCATCAGGGTGGGTGGGCTCTTTTTCCTTTTCCTCTCAATCACAAGAAAGAAGATCAGAAACCCTTCAGCACAGGCAGTGAGTTCTCCTCCTCAGTCTCATTATTAATTTCACGCTCCTGCCCCAGCTTGTGTTCAGCCAACAGGAACGTGAGGGTGGATGAGACTGAGGAAGAACTACAATGAGCTGTTTTTTTCCTACAACAGACAAGATGGATCACAAAG